TATATATATATATATATATCTAAGTAGTTAAATTTTTATTTGACAAAGCAATATTCTACCTGCACTTACAATTAGCTAACTTTGCACGTGCATTCTCATTCTCAAAGGTCTTGGAACATTATTTTTATTTTTTAAATATTATTATTTGAAAGTAACTGTTAGTTAAAGTAATTTTATTACATTTTATTTTATTCCAAATAAAATAAAACCTAGTCTGGCCTGCCTTTTCTAAATCATCCAGTTACGTTAATACCCTTGATGCTCCATGAATCACAGATTAATAGTTAATAGATAGTAAACATTGGGATCAAGGTGTTATCAATTAACCATGGAATGTTGGTCGATCGTCATTGCAGAAAATATCGGATCATATGGATTCAAACTTTATTCAATTTATTTTATACTAAATGTCTAATAATATACACTTGCGCATATTTCGCATATTAAGCAACTGTCGGATCTGAATATAATAATTTAACAATCAACAGTCCGAAGGACTAAGTTAACAGTTTACATTCGTAATGTACATTTCTGTACGTTTAGTGTTACATATCCTTTGGTATAAATAATAAGAACATTATTTTCTCACTTACATTAAGTTCCTAGAATAGTTCCTTTTATGACTGCATGCTTCTCGAAAGTCAATATTAATGATGGCACTGGTCTTCGTTGTGATGGTTCAAGCGTAGTAAGAATACTTCGTTTATATGTTTTATAGTGTATACTTTATTTTATAGTTCTTTTTTTTCGTATAACTCCAAAACTAGTGTTAAAAATGGCACTGCTGTATTTTTTTTTTCTTTTTCTTTTCTTTTGATAATGGTGGTTTGTCACTCAAAAGTATCCAGACATTTAGTTACTCTTAATTCAATTACAATTCAATTATAGAATCACAAATAAACATTATATGTTGATCAATTTATGTTATCTTATATAAGAAAATAAATATAATAATATAAATATGTATATCTAATAATTAGACTGCGAATATTTATGCATTTATAGAATATATTATACATTTAAAATATATTATAATAATAGTATTTGATGTACAACCTTTGCCTATATTCTGTTTTTTATATTATTTTCACAAAGATATGTGCATAAAGATCCGCAGTAATATATAAAATCGACGAATGTAAAATGAGTTGTAACATAATTTTTCAACACGACTTGCAAGAAAATATTTTATAAAAAACTATTCAGCTTCCGAGATAGAGATATATATATTTTAGAAATATAAGAAATATATTTAACATAATATATATAACATAAAGTCTATCTAGAAAAAAAAAAAGATTCTTCTGAACTCATAAAAGTGCTATCCTCATTAGTCCAATGAGTAATATTTAAAAAATTCTAGCGAATCATGTATCTAATTTTGAAATAAATAATTAATACTTATCATTCGTCGATTTTATAAAACAAATACTATTTTTAGCTATCAGCTATATTAACTGATTATTAACTATATTAATTAGTCTGAAAAATATCTGATGAAAATCACTAGACACAGTCGTGCATCTAGTATTTAATTTTACTATTCTGCTGCTCAGTTTTTAAACAAATAGATAATCAATCATTAGTTCTACAAGAACACAATAACTATCACTTTCACTCATTAATTATAATATTGTTTTTGAAAAATAGATACAACTCGTACGTATCTCGTATTTAATTTTAATATTTTATTGCTTAAGTCTCAAACAAATTTGTCAATTCTATGAGAACATAATAAATACTTAAATACTAACAATACCAACAGGTAAAAACACTTTCACCTATTAGTTATGATATGGTTTTTGAAAAATGGATAGAACGAGATACATCTCGTATTTAACTTTAATATTCTGCTGTTCAATGTTTGAACGAACAATTAACACGTGTTATTCGTTATTTATTCCGTAAACATAATAAACGTTGCTTTTAGTTATTTAATTTCTCGTCAATTTATTATTATTTTATTTCATGACTAAGTGTCCGGATACTTATAAACGATCCAGCAATAGCAGAGCCTATATAGACTAGAGTTTAGTTAGTATGTCTCAAATAATTCTTAGCATCCTCAGCGAGTCTCATGTTTCTTTCTAACTATTTTTTAACTTTTTCTCTTTTTTTCCTTTTTTTTTTTTTAACAATGGCGAGTTTTTCAACAATTCTTCAGCAAGAGGATTAAAGGATATATGCGTTCATTGCGTAGAGAAACTTATTCAAGTTCAGAGGGAGAGTGAGTGAAAAAGAGAAGGAAAGAGAGAGAGAGAGAGAGAGAGAGAGAGATAATAAGCAAACAGAACAACTTCTTGACATTTTGTCGATATTTGAGATTTTCTGCTGAAAACACGTACAATAGAGAGATCGTCCCCCTCAAAGTATCTACGTGACGCATCAAAGTATGCATGATAAATAAGTCGGGACGATTTAGAAATTGTTGAAAACCATAGTGAAAGGTATCGTGGTTGCCAAAATATTCGAAGCGTGTGATCGTTGAGATTTTGCCTGCACGAGAGAAATCCCATCAGACGCTTTTCTCCGAGATGGTGCTTCTGATGCTTCTGTTGCTGTCTCTCCTCTGCAACGTGCGTGGATGTCGTTGGGCACGAACAGGTGGTTCCCTGTCGCTGCCAACTCTTCTCAGACTGGTGTCTCTCTCGATGCGGGCGTTCTTCGGCGCCACTGGACCACGAATATTTGTGTAGACCACGTAAACTGCTAGAATCCCGACGACGAACATGGCAACGCCGACACCGCTCACTGTACCAACCTACGGATCATTGTCATGCTATAATTCCGACAGTGATTTCCTTCCTCTTTTCTAAAAGGATTCTTCAGAATCATTAAAATTTATCAAAATGTATTAATCTCTTCGATCGTCGATCAGCAAACTCATAGATGTATAATTATCACAGTTGAATTAATAATATCATTTTTTTTTTTTTTTTTTTTTATTGAACTTTAGAGTTCAAAGGAACTTTACAATTTGTACAATCATTGTACGTTAGATTTTATAGATTTAATGTTTTTAAATTAATAAATATAGAAATATGTCCTGTGCATATTTATTACAGTTAATGATATATGTAATTCTCAATTTTTCGATCGAGGTTAAGAAGGTTATTTCTTTTATATTAGAAATGTGTCATACACATCAGTTAAATGCAAATACTAATATATTTTCTATATATTTGTATATACTGTTGAATTAAAAATAAATTTTAAAAATTATTTCTTTCATATATCGGTATCACATCTGCTATCATGCATCTATAATATCTCGTGTTATACGAACGTACCTTGCGTTTTATTTACTCAGGTATGAAGCAATACTACACGAGCTTTGCTGACGAGCTTTCGTATCGAAGAGATTAATTAAATGCAAGAGATTAAACAGTATATTCGAGTATGTGCGAAAATTATTGGATTTACGATGGATATACATTATTCTATACACTTTACATTATTCTACACGTAAATATAAAACGTGGAGCAAGATCTGAAATTATTCATACAGTTTAAATCTACAAAACAAAATTTTTAAAAAATCTAAATTATCAGCATTAAGCGTTGCCTTTAGTTAATTAAGCTGATAAATTCAGATTATTATATTAATCAACATAATTATAATAATTACCAATGTAACAATTATAATTAATGATCGTTAACGTGATTCAACAATAGACAACAGTTATTTAACGCGTGACAATGATTGCTAAGTGAACGATACAATGAAATAACAATTATAATTAATTTATCAGTTTAGAATATTAAAAGTGCCCTAATTAGCAAGGTAAAACCGGTGAAGTTAAAACTAACCATGGTCCACCACTCTGTGTTATCCATCTCGGAAACGAGGACCTGAGCAGCCTCGTCGTCATCCTCGTGCAACATCTTGATCTCCTTAGGCGTGGTAGCGCAGCCAGTCTTCGTTCCTTTTTCCTTACTGATCAGCTTTTTGAACGTTTTCGGCATCTTATCCTCGTCGTCACTGTCGTCGTCGTCGTCGTCGTCGTCCTTTTCGTTGTCATCCTCTTTCCCGTTGTCGTCGTCGCCCCAATGCAATCTCACCTTGTTCTTGCCGACGGCGATCGTGCCTATAGTCTGCAGATCCGAGGCCTTCGCTTTCATCAACAACTCGAGAGACGCGGTGTTCGATTGAGATTCCTTCGCGTGATCCGCGACCACGTTCGACAGGACATTGTTCCAGTCGACGGAATTCACTTGGCTCTTGCACTTCTTCTTCTTGCTACAGACACGTCAGATTGTTAACACGTTCCCCTGTCACGCGTATCGTTTCCGGTATTTCATTTAGCTAGGCGATGAAAGTGTACGAATTTTGTTATTATAGGAACTCTAAAATTGTTACTATTGTTATTATTATTACTATTAATACATTTACAGTGTTAATTATTATTAACGCCGTAATGAAATACGAGCATGTATTGTTATTACTAATACAGTCGTATTAAATATCTATATAATTTAAATCGTATGATGGTATTTATGGTTACTCGCGAAAATACTCGAACACCTGTAGAAATTGTACGTATTTTCAAATACGTTGTTAACACTGTAAAGGAATACGAGTATCATTATATTAATATAAATGACGTGTATGAAAATCAGAAACGTACGTATATGGTTGCTCACGAAAGTATTGAATTGTATTGAGTAAAATATTTTATTAACTTTATTAACACTGTAATGAAATACGAGTGTCGTGATATTATGTTAATTAACATTGTAATAAATAATTATGTCATGTTCAATTATTAGAATTACTATCGTCCGAGTCAGAATATCAGATTTATTTATACATATTAGTTTCTCACTGAAATATTCGATTTTTTTCATGAATATATTATATGTTGTATAATAATTATATTGATTATCGATCATATTTGTTGGTATTGATCCTAATATAGGTGCAACTATATTTCGCAGACATGAAAATATTTAAACTAATAATTGTTCATAATAATATAACAATAAACTTTAATATTCAGCGAGATAAAATTTAACACTTAAGATGGATATTCATGGTGTATATTAATTTTCTATCAAACACACGTAACGCGTACTAATTTTTTATTAAGCATACGTTAAATTTTGTATTAAATATGTATTTTATATTATATCTAGAGACATATAATTGATTTTAAATTTGTTCGACA